TATATCACCGTGTTGTGTTAGGACGCAAGGAGTCCATAGCGAAGCAGAGGTGCCTTACCACTAGCTGGCGTTGGAGTCAACCAAGCTCTGAGATGAATCTGGCCGGGCAACGGTCATGGCTCATGCCTGTACTTCAGCACTTTGGGAGGCTTGAGGGCAGGGGGCAAAAGGGGGACCATGTTTTAACAGGAAAATTTAAACATTTGTAGCTAGGGCATGGCGGTGATCGTGCTGTATCACAGTTACGTCGGAAGACAGAGGCAGGGAGGATCGCTTCAAGCCTGGGAGGGCAAGGCTTACAGTGAGCTGTGATTGTGGCAGCTACTCCACCTGGGGGCCGGACCGCAGAGGAGGATCCCATTTAAAAAAGAAACGAGATACTGTTTTTTGTTTTGTTTTTTCTTGAGGATTGGAAGTCTACTCGTTCGGCCCAGGTGTTGGAGTGCGCAGTGGTGGAATACTCGGCTCACTGGCAGCTCGCCCTCCGCGGGGTGGCTCACCACTCTCTGGCTAGGCTGCCCGAGTAGCGTGGACACAGTGGCAGCCAACGCACGCCCGGCTAATTTTTTGTATGTTGTTGGTAGAGACGGGGGTTTCACGCGGTGTTAGCCCTAGGAATGCTGCTTGATCTCCTTGAAGGCTCCGTGATCTCCGCGCCTCGGCGCCTCCCAACAGGTGTGGGATTAGAGGCGGGTGAGCCAGCCGTCCGGCCAGGAATAGGCTGTTTAACTGAGCGGAAGCAAAAGAGCATAAGGTATAGTTCAAGGTCCAGAGAAGTTGCAGACTCCATATGATGCTCAGCTATGATGGTTCGCACGTAGGCCTCTGTGGTAAATGCCCCTGGCAATCAGACAAAGGCGTTTAACAGCCGCTTGACCAATCAGGAGCTGGGCTGAGACCTTCCTCAGACTGCAAGCTGGAGCAGCTGAGCTGACAGCCGGGCTTTCTTTACTCACCGACTTCCGACAGGCTCTGGAGGCAAACATCTGCTTGACTCGGGACGGCCGGCACATGACCCCAGGGCTGTCGCTTAGCAAAAAGATCAGTTCATCGATGTCCTGGGGTCCGAAGGTCCAGTTTTTACTAGTTGGCAAGGAAATCAATTTAGCCCTTTCAGTCACTGGAGCTAAAAGAATACAATTTTGAGAAAAATCCATGACTTGAGAAACACGTTTCACTTGAAAGCTACTTAGAATGAACATCTGAGGCCGGGCACGGTGGCTCACGCCTGTAATCCCAGCACTTTGGGAGGCCTAGGCGGGCGGATCACGAGGTCAGAAGATCGAGACCAGCCTGACCAACATGGTGAAACCCAGTCTCTATTAAAAATATAAAAATTAGCCAGGTGTGATGGCACGTGCCTGTAGTCCCAGCTACTCTGGAGGCTGAGGCAGGCGAATCGCTTGAACCCGGGAAGTGGAGGTTGCAGTGAGCTGAGATCACACCACCGCACTCCAGCCTGTTAGCAGAGCAAGACTCTGTCTCAAAAACAAACAAACAAACAAAAAGCGCTGTTTGAATCTGTTGGCTGTGCTCACTGGCATCTAATGGGTGTCGTTTATTTGTGGTGATGTCTGTTTCTCCCCACTGTCCGCTCCACAGGGGAAGGGGCTGCAGTCGCCTTGTTACCCCTATGTCCCCAGCACCTGGAGCAGGGCGGTCCCACAGCAGGGGCTCAAGGAGCATCTGCTGAATAAATCAACGAATGGCATCCTGGCCTTTCCCAATGGCCAGCTGATACAGAGTCACTTTTCTTGGACATCAGGCTACTCCCCACTGCAGGCGTAGCCCCTGCTACCACCTTCCAACACCAACCAGAGCAGCGGCAGTGGTGCCACGTGCAACGACACCCACAGCACCCCGTGAAGCACCCGCTGCCTTGATGACTCTGCAGAACCTTGTCTAACGCCTCCGAGTCCTGGCAGCAGCAAATCTTTATCTACCAGTGTTGTTAGGACCCCTAAGGTCCATAGACGAACAAGGTGCCTCAACCACTAACTGCGTTGGAGTCAACGAAAGCTCTGAGATAGAATACTGGCCGGGCACGGTGGCTCATGCCTGTAATTCCAGCACTTTGGGAGGCTGAGGCAAGGGGCAAAAGGAGACCATGTTTCTACAGAAAATTTAAACATTAGCTGGGCACATCGAGGATGATACGTGCCTTGTAGTCCCAGTTACCCGGAAGACGAGGCAGAGGATCGCTCAGCCCTGGGAGGTCAAGGCTACAGTGAGCTGTGACTGTGGCACTACCACCCCAGCCTGGGCGAACAGAGAGGACGATCCCCATCTTAAAAAAAAAAAAAAACTGTTTTTTTTTTTCTGCTTTGAGATGGAGTACTGCACTCTGTCGCCAGGTTGCAGTGGCGTGGAGTGAACTCGGCTCCACTGCAAAGCTCCGCCCCCCGGGTTCGTCACCACTCTCCCTGCCTGCACCTCCCCCGAGTAGCTGGACTACAGGTGCGCAACACACGCCGCTAATTTTTCGTATTTTTTGGTAGAGGACGGGTTTCACCGTGGTTAGCAGGATGGTCTGTGACTCTCCTGAACCGTGATCCTCCGCCTCAGGCCATCCCAAAGTGCTGGGATAGGGACCTTGAGCCACCGTGCCCGGCAAGGAATACTGTTTAACTGAAGTAAACAAAAGAGCATAAGTCATGACGTTCAAGGTCCCAGAGAATGCACGACTACATAGTGCCCATAATGATGTTCCAACGTAGCTCTGGTAAAATGACCCCTGGCAATCACAAGGCGTTTAACAGCCTGACCAAGTTCAGGAAGCCTGGGGCTGAGACCTTTCCTCCAGACTGCAAGCTGGAGCAAGCTGAGCTGACAGCCGGGTTCTTACCAACGCTCCGAGCTCTGGAGGCAAACATCGGCTTGACTCGGGACGGGCCGGCCACATGACCCCACGGGGCTGTCCGCTTAGCAAAAAGATCAAGTTCCATGCGATGTCCTGGGGTCCGAAGTCAGTTTTTACCTAGTTGGCAAGGAATAATTTAGCCTTTCAGTCACTGGGAGCTAAAAGAATACATTTTGAGCATCCTGACCTTGAGAACACGTTTCACTTGAAAGCTATTAGCATGACATTGACGGCGGTCACGGTGGCTCACGCCTGTAATCCCAGCACTTTGGGAGGCCGAGGCGGCGGAATCATAGATGTCAGGAGATGCAGACCATCCTGGCTAACATGGTGAAACCCCGTCTCTACTAAAAAATAGAAAAAATTAGCCAGGCCTGGTAGTCCAGCTACTCAGGAGGTTGAGGCAAGGAGAATGGTGTGAACCCGGGAGGTGGAGCTTGCAGTGAGCCGAGATTGAGATTCCATCTCAAAAAAAAAAAAAAAGATGAACCATCTGAAAGAGAGGAGGACAGTCACAAAATGCTTTTTGGGGGAGGCTTTTTCATCTTTTATAAAATAAAAAAACTGGTCTATATGACCTGAAAGATTATTCCCAAGCTCTAAAAAGACAAGAATCTATAGTTCTAATTTTTTTTTTTTTTTTTGAGACAGAGTTTCACTCTTGTCACCCAGGCTGGAGTGCGGTGCACATGATCATCGGCTCATTGTAACCCTTGTCTCCTGGGTTCAAGCCAATTTCTCCCACCTCAGCCTCCTGAGTAGCTGGGATGACAGGCGCCCGCCA